AAATTTTTCTCAAATGGCAGCTGCACATTCGGAAACATTATTGGCACCTTGGACGACTAACTCATTGTAACTGGCACTCATCTTGCTGCCACATACCTTCTTGAACAGATTCATGCTTACAGTATTCAAATATTTGTTTATGTTCAAAAATGGAATCAGCATATCCAAATGGGCAGTACCTCTTAGCAGCTTTACATTTTTCATGAGAAAATTATGCAAGCAAACACAGTTATATCTGCTTTGTCTGGCTGAATGTTGAGAGTGTTTCAAAGTACTCTCCATCGAGATGTCAAAACTTCGAAAGCATTCTCAATGCATCTCCATGCCTTTGTCAGATGATAATTAAATATGCTTTTGTTCTGAAGAAGTTTCCCTGAAAATGGCCACAACATATTTGTTTTCAAAGGAAATGCTTCGCCTCCAATGAAAGCAAATGGCAAAACCTTGTTACTACCAGGATGCAATGTTGGTGGAGGTAAAAAATCCAAGTTTGCAACTTCCGACCTGATGAAGAAGTTGCAAAAACTCCGCTATCACTAATTCATCCCAAATTCCCAATGTCCATATACAAAAATCTGTAATGAGCATCAGATGCAGTCATTAAAACAATGCTGTGGAATCCTTTATAACTTATATATGAGGATCCTGCATTTGGTGATTCTTGTATAGCAGTGTGTTTCTCTATACAGAAAGGAAAAAATAAAAACACTATCAATGAAAAATAGGTTATACAATTTCATCATTCACGAATCTTTGTGAATATGTACTACATACATGATAAATTACAATAACAGTTATTTTGCTCATAACTCAAATTTCATTTAAAAAAAACTCTACATTTTGTCACTTATGGTGTTAAACTAGAATGCTAAATATCATTATTTGTAATGTCGTAGATATATTCAAAAGCATTTAATTTAATAATAAACTGCAAAGGTCAATACTTTATTTCAAAAATAAAAGTATGGCTACTAACCATCAACTGCACCAACACTTGAAAATTGCAGTGGTAAGAAAAACTATCAACTTCGATTTATTGGTTTGATGAATGTATTTCAGGCAATCGCAATGGGCCTAAAGTCTCACAAATTGCTTGAAAAGTCTCATGTATAATGATGCATACTGCTGATTTCCTGATTCTGAAGCTAAAGGAAAGATCTGCATATGTTCCACCAATGGCTGAAAACTTTAAAATTTAAAAAAAAAAAAAAAAAAACTTACTTGACATCTAGTAATACAGTCAAATACCGAAAATTCGCAGACCTGAAATCTGCCAACTCCTGAAATTCGCGTTGCCTCTCAAAATATAAACATTCAGTTTATAGGTTCTGGAATCCGCAACATTGAGTACGAAATATCGAAGAAAAAATACTTACTGATTAATGACGTCATAATTACCGAATAATAATGAGTCATAATGGAAATACCAAATTATTGACATCATGATAAAAGTTTTTTCTCCTCTAATCTGCATAGAGGTAAGAAAGCAGACGATTCACTCAACTATTCTTTAAAATTCATGATTCACATTGTATTTTTTAAGCTTTGTTATTTCACGAGATTATTTAGTGCTGCCTTTTTTTTATCCGTATATTTTGTAGATAAATTAAGAATATTCTAAAGTTCAGCCCTTTTTAATACAATTACAGATAAGAAACGCACTCATGATTTTACTGCTTGCAACATTGAAAAACGTAAATGCGTTGCATTGACAGTAATGCAAAAAGTGCAAATTCTGTAACAGATGGAGATAGGTGCATTTTATAACAGAATTGTATGGAATTGCGATACGATTGTGTATGATATATGGAAAAATAAAGAAAAGCTGTTAAAATTTTACAGCAACAGCGATTCTAATACTGGAATTCGAAAGCGGAAATCTTTGCATGAGACGAAATCGGCAAACCTCGATGCTGTGTATATATAATACAATGAATAATATAATCAATTTATATATGTAATAATAATTTAATGTATATATAATAAGTTATTGAAATAATGTATATAATAATTTAATTAAATGTATCTAATACACCTTATTTATTTTGAAGTTTTAAGTCGGAATATCATGATTTAGCTTTTCTGTCCTGAAATCTGCAAAATCCTAAAATCCGCACAACCTCTAGTCGCAAGCTTTGCGGATTTCTGGACTTCTACTATATCAGCAGGAAATAATATGTATTTATTTTGAAATAAGTATCTGAAAAATAGAACTGGTTTTGCTATTGTACATACGAAAAAAAAGGAAAAATTAAAGGACTATCAACAATTAAATTGCAAAAAATGCAGACTACAAATTATTCAACATTGAACATTTTTTCTAACAACACTTTCAAAAATGTATATTTGAATAACAATCTATTGAGGTATTGATGCTCAAAATGCAGATCTTTACTGCCTAGATAGTGATGTACGTACGGTAGATGTAATCATGGTTGGTAGGTATACTTCTTTATTCTTTTAAAACAGTTCCCACAAACATACACAATTACTTGGGATGTAAAATACATTCAAATTCTATATCAGAATAACAATCGTAAACATACAATTTTGAATACTCGTTTATAGTTATACAACTTTTCTGAAGTTTTTAAAACAATTTCATATTCTCCAAACTTAAACATGTATATAGCGAGTTGAAGAAAAGAAAATGAAAACATATTTCTTCGAGAGCTCTATTGAAAAGAACACTTATGGAGGTATGTAGCATTCTTGCACAAAAATAATAGTTCAATTAAGCTGCCTATGAAATTGATTGAATTTTTAAGTAAATGTTTGTGAAATACAAAGTTGCTGTGGTAATTTTAGTTCATAAATTGTTTGTTTAAATATTTATGCGAGTCTATTTTCAGAACTTTTATTTATTTACTTTTTTTTACCCAAAATGTGTTTTGAATAACTTTTTCAAAACAGTTTTTTTTTTTTTTTTTTTTTTTTAAAAAAAGCATCAATAGTATAGGTGATAAAAAAGTAAACTCATTTTGCTTATATTTAGCAATATATATTTGCAGCTATAATTGGAAAACACAACTGTCCGAAAACAAATATCAGCTATTGTATACTGGCACAAGACGTGTTTGTTATTTCAGAAGCATATCACAGCAAATAGAAGCCCTGATCAAGATGTTTACTCTCCACCGGCAAGCATAAGAAGAGTGAAAATTATGCTATTTATGAATGGTGTAGTTAGTTTCTGAACATAAGCATTGCTTGCTACTGGTTAACACGTAGAGCGCGGTGCCGGTCCCTGGGGACCAACAGTGAACTTTCCGTGTGGCTGGGGACCGGCACTGGAATTTTCGTTTGGCTGGCATCGATCTGCGGGACCGACAGTATTAAAGTTAAAAAATAAATATAGTCTCAATGACATGTGATCAAATTTAGTTTTAATGAAATGTATTGAGACATTCTAAACAAAAATACGGCTTAGCTCGCTTCCGGCTGAACGGAAAGGACAGCAAATTCGGCGCCACGCTCAAAGGGTTAAGCCAGTGCCTCCTAGATTATAAAGCCAATAGACAGGTTGTAGAAACAAGTGTGACGTCAAAGTTAGTAGGCCCACGTGATGTTCTCGAGGTTTGGATTCTCAATTGGGAAGCCATTGTTTTGCGGTGTACATAGACTGGAATGTTAGCACGTGCTGTCGGGGAGAAGAAATACTTGGTAAGTTCGTATTTATTGAAATGTAACTTTATATTTTGTTCATTGAAATAAACGCTTGCTATTACTAATGTTGAATTAAATTAAGTATAATTGCTTAATTATTAGTAACACACGTATACTATTATGTTTATCTCCGTATTGATTAGCCATTATTATTATTATTAATCTTATTCTGAATTTTACTTAATATATTTTGTTTAAGTGCATCACCGAAGTTTTAATTTTATGTGTGCAGTATATCTAATGTTACGTATTTTCTTTATAAAAGTTTTTTTTTATTATTTCGTTACTGTTTTACGAATTTTTTAACCTAATCATTTATACAAGCTACAAACAAAAACGGCTTAGCTCGCTTCCGCTGAACGGAAGGCAGCAATTCGGCGCCACGCTCAAGGGTAACCGGCCTCCTGATTATAACCTGGACAGGTGAGAAACAAGTGTTCAAAGTTAGTAGGCCCACGATTGGACAAGAATCTAAGGAGAAGAATGAAAGCTTCCATAGACGCAATGTAAACCTGTTTCGCCTCTGCGCCGCTGTACCGAAGAGCCACGGCTATGCAGTGAAACACCAGCGCAGGGTGAAATTTAAACAGCGCACTTCGAGTCGAGGATAGATAGTAAATTTTTTACTTTGAAATAACTCAAAATGTTTTATTTTCATACATTTCTGGAGTTTTCTGAGCAAAAGGATGTTAGTTGGAATTTTGGGGCGAATTATAGAAATCCTGTCCAATTTTTACTTTCAATTTAAACAGCGAGCCGTACGAAGACAAAATTTAAATGAAATAAATTTCTTAATTCTTTTCTTCTGTAAACTTAAAAAGGGGGGAAAAACACATGCCATACAAAACGTAATAAATTTTTATGGATCCATAGTTAAAATTTTACAGTGAAATTTTAAAAGCAAAATTTGCAATAACTAACTGAAACAGAAAAAAAAATAATTTAAAGACAATTAAAGGCACCCCTAAATAAATTGAAAACACTGAAATACATTATAATTATCCGACAACAACTTTAAAAACAAATTACCATGAAAACGTTTAGACAATTATTTGGAATGACCATTGTGAAAACCAAGAGCAAAGTTTTCACCCAATAGCCAAAACCATTTCACTTACAGCATTACATTTAAAAAGTCTTTAAAAGAATTTCACATAGCTAAAAACAAGTACCTCTGACTACAACAACAAAGAACGTTTTCGAACAACGTGGTAAAAGATTGCTAACATGGCCGACGGCATGCCGCATTCTTTGATGCTGCTTTGTTGCCTCCTGATGTTATTTCGCACATGCGCAGTGAGGTACGGAGGGTGGATAGCTTTGGAATGGTTTGCCCCTTTAAAGTAAGCTTCAAGGATATACATAATGTGTCTCTTCGGTCTGACGGAGCCACATTTGCTCCGAGGAACCTTTACTTCTTCTCCTTAGAGATTCTTTGGTTTGGATTCTCAATTGGGAAGCCATTGCTTTGCGGTGTACATAGACTGGAATGTTAGCACGTGCTGTCGGGGAGAAGAAATACTTGGTATTCGTATTTATTGAAATGTAACTTTATATTTTGTTATTGAATAAACGCTTGCTATTACTAATGTTGAATTAAATTAAGTATTAATTGCTTAATTATTAGTAACACACGTATACTTATTATGTTTATCTCCGTATTGATTAGCCATTATTATTATTATTAATCTTATTCTGAATTTACTTAATATATTTTGTTTAAGTGCAACCGAAGTTTTTAATTTTATGTGTGCAGTATCTAATGTTACGTATTTTCTTTTATAAAAGTTTTTTTATTATTTATTCATTACTGTTTTACGAATTTTTAACCTAATCATTTATACAAAGCTTAACGTTTTTAAAATGTAATTGAAAGTAAACCTATACAATAAAATCTAGTTAAATTAATAATTACGTATATCAGTTAACAAACGTATGTACGCTAATATGTGAGTGTGTGTAGAATAAATATAATAGCTAATATGTGAGTGCATTGTATAATGAGTGTAAGTATAAGTGAGAATGGCAAACTTTTAAAGTTATGTGATCAAAGCGTTCAGTATTTGAAGAACAGTCTAGTAAAAAACGTTTTTTGTTTTATTGTGAGTTTAATTATTATTAACTTATCACTATTGAAAGATGTATTTATGTGGTTTCTAAATTATATACTGTGTATTTGCATACAATGTATTTAAATATTAAAGCAGTAAATTCCATCTTAACATTCCATAAATAGTGTTTAGTTTACCAAACAAAGTCTTTCTTCAGATTTCACGTATATATTTTACTGTGTCAATATTCTAAATATTCTAAACATGATTCGCCTGAAAAATTTGATATTATTTTCATTTGACTGTTTCAGCATGTTTTAAATATCAAAATTATCATCATTGATGCAAGTAATAATTTCAGTTATAATAATAGATATCTTAATAGAAGCTTAGGTGTTCTTCAGATACGAATTTCTTGAAGTCTCATTTATTCAAATGTTTGAATGACATTTGAAATTCTCCACCGTGGTTTATGGTGTATCGAATTTCAATGTATAATTATGCAAATTTTAAATTGGTATAACATTTAGATTACATAACTGATTTTTGTACTGTTTTTACAGAAAATATGCCATTTAAATGCTGTGTAACTGGTTGTCGGGGAAATTATAAAGGTACTGAAAAGGTGCATACATTTTCCTTCCCAAAAATGATGCTCTTAGAGAGAGGTGGCTAAGAAATATACCTAGGAAGGACTTCTCAGCAACTCCATATTCTCAGGTAGGTGTAATCCTAATAATTTATTAAGATTCAATAAATTGTTGGTAGAATATTCTTAGTCTGCTATGGAAACTTTCTGCAAGCTATAATTTTTACCTCCCGCCAACATGTATAAATAGGTTTCAGTGTATAGTTTTCTATTTGATGAATCAACAAATTACATTTAATTACAACAATCAAGGGCTAATGATACTTCGAAGCTCGTTGCTGTATAAGCCATAGAATAGGCAGGAGGTCGTATGCTGTCATGATCAGATTTTTTTATATGTAGTGTTAACTGATCCCTTAAATATTTGGAAAAAAAAAAATTTTAATTTGCATATATGCATTTAAAATTTAACCTGCCCAAAGCATTGCCAAAGCTTGAATGTTTTATTTATAAGGAAAGTGATTCAATCTTGCTTTACAGTTGGTTTGTTTTTAAGAAGTTAGTTACATGATGTCTTCCTTTTACTAATAGGTGTGCCATAAACATTTTCAACCTGATGACCTCATCTGGGAAACATCAGCTTTCGATGAAAAAAATGGGAAATCATTAAAGCTTCACTGCAGAGACCAAAACTAAAGAAGGCGCTTTTCCTAGCATATTTGATGGCTGTCCATCGTATTTATCTTCACAAGCTGGTAGTTCGAGAAAAAGTCCGAATGAGAAAAAAATGGAACGAGAGAAGCAAACCTCATGATGAAAGCTATTGCTCATAGTAAATTATCAGCTGCTGAGTATTATAAATCGAGGACATTTTAGACTTTAATGAACTTTTAACCTGTTGTATGCAATATAAATTTTCTACATTTTGGAACGTTGTGCACAGACAATATCTTGATGTTTTTAAATTTAAAAATGCACTGATGGATGTGTAAAATTGCTTTATGCAGTCCACATTACTGCAGATCTTTTATTATCTGTATCGTTTCCAAAATAAGTTATTGACTCATATCAGTAGTAAGTATAATGAGTTACCTAAAAAAGTAAGTAATATTAATGAAATTCATGAAATACTTGATCATATTGAAATGTTAGAAACTAAAGACTTAATGAATTCAATTGAAATTATAATCAACCTGATGAAATCTTTAAGTTTCACAATGAAGGTGATAAAATTTATTTGAGTTCATGATTGAACAACTTTCTCTTGTAAAATGTAAGCCCCAAAATCGTCAATATTCATCCAATACCTTAATTTTAGCTTCTATGTTTTATTTGTTATCGCCCCAAGCATATAAATTTGTCCGACAAATTGGTAATTTAATTTTGCCTCATCCAAGTACTATACATAAATAAATTCTAAATTAAAATGTAAAATCCCCAAAAGGAAACAGATATGTTGTTTTTGGTCATATGCTAAGCAAAAAGCTTGCTATCTGAAGAGCATGAATTAATGTTTCATTAATGATGGATGAAATTCAAATCAGACCTTTCTTGACTACAAAAGTGGAGATATTGTTGGAATTGGCCAGGAAGTTGATAACTTAGCTTCTAGTGCACATGTATTTATGATACAGAGTATTTTGTGCTGCTTTAAAGATGTTGTCCATATATTACCATCGAAGAAAATGACAGCTGAAGTTTGTTCACTGTTTTGAAAAAAATAATTGTTGGTCTTGAAGCAATAGGTTTCAAAGTAATTGTTGTTGTTAGTGACAATAATTCCATTAATAGAAGATGTATATCTCTGTTTAATAATCCATTATCAATTTTGTATTTCCTCATCCTGTTGATGCAACTCGTCCATTGTTTTATGCAGTTGAATTCTGTTCATATTATTAAATGTTTCGTAACAACTGGTTAAACCAGAAAACCCTGAACAAGCTATGTATTTTCCAAATTTGACTTGTCTTCAAATAATGTATGTACCTCTTCATTCTTACTTTTAAAAATATGTATGAAGCTGAAGTGGTATTTGTTAAAATATGGATATACAATATCTCGTAAAGCTCTGTGGCCTACAAATTTAGAACGTCAAAGTGTGAAACTGGCTTTACAAAAATTTTCAACGATCAAACATCACAAGGCCGAAAGAATTAGGAGTAAAGCATAATTTTGTTAAATTTTTCACGAAACATCTGCATATAAAAATATTTTCATCGTGGTTTTCAATAATGAATGTTTTAAAGCACCAAACAAGGGGGTACATTCTTGTGATGACTTCTGTAAACCATTAGTATGGAATGAATCAGACAAGAAGTTTGTATTTTAAATAATTTTCTTGATTGGTTGATGAAATGAAAGAAATGAAGAGTGATAACGGTAGGTTGACAAAAGAGACACTTTTGCTCTTATATTAACAACAACGTGTATGATAGAAATGTGTAGGTATTGTCTAGGTGAACTCAACATGTCGTATTTTTTGCCCGGTAAAATTCAGACAGATGAATTGGAACATCGTTTTAGTTTATATCGCAGGATGGCTGGAACAAATTATCATATCACTTCGACAGGTTTTTTGAAGTAGAAAACAAAGAAAACAAAAACGTGCATGTTCTGTATTAAATCTAACTATGATATCGAAAAGTAAAGGGACAATTGTTATCGATGACTTTTTCTAACTCTTTTGATTTGGTTAATGATAGTTCCCATGAATCTATTGTAAATATTTTTCATAATTTCAAGCATATTAATGTCACAGATAATGATCTGAAACTATGGTTGATAAATTACCTTTAATTGCATACTTGGCTGGATATGTTGCCCACTCAGTTATGAATAGGCTAAAATGTGATGACTGTGGAGGTAATTTAGTTATTGAAAAACCACTAATAATTCCTCCAATTTCAAACATATTTCATAATTGTGATAGAGGTGGGTTAAAGTACCCATCTGCTGATGTCATTAATGTAATACTGCATAATTTTATTGTCATACAGAAGCTCATAAGCCCTGAATATGAAAATAGTTTCCTCCAAGTATGTAACCAACGTAATTTAATATCCACTATGACATTAGAAATTCTTATGTGTAAGGAAATTAAAATTTTTTCCTGTAAAAACCATTTGTCACGTAAAATTATGCAATGCTTATATACCTCATCCACAAATACTCTTTTAAACAATTATTGTGAATTAAAAATGATAGCTTTCTAATATTCAGATAAAAGAAAACTAAAAAACATTGTATGTAAGCATAACAAACAAAGATATATTAGAAATGTAACCAATATAATTTTTTGGCCTGAAAATAATTTTAGTGCATTTCACTTTTTTAATTTTAATTGCTCTCTAAACATGCATTAGTAAATATATGTGTAATTTTATTATTTTGTAATTTAATTTCTTGTTTCGTATTAAAAATATTAAAAATTATGGAATTGTATTTAAATATTTTACATAACAATAATTTAAAGACTTCATTTGTTGTACTGTATTATTTTATATAGGTAACAGCAATAGTTGTCCATTACATACCAGCAATTAATTTAGATTTATTAATGTTTTTCACATAAAAATATTTTTTCATTTTAAAATATAAACTGTATGCTTGGATGTTACTTTTAAGTAATCTTTGTATATTATTATATAAGTGATATATTAGAAGTTTGTACGATGAGAAAAAATAGGTACTATGTGTATATATTTACATGCATATTTTAATCACAGGTTAGAAATATGGATGCGTAAACCCAGAAATTCGGAAATATAATTGAATAATTTGGAAAGATCTTGAATTTGGAGAACAGATGAACTTGGGGAGGGAGGAAGAAAATAAAATTAGGATAGTCAATTTTAAGGTTGCCAATTATTTCTTAACATAGCCATCATATTTTATTATATCTTACATATGTAATTATGTGTTTGTAGATGCATCTGAAGAAGCTGTTGGAAAGCACAGGATGGGAACCTACATCCAAATTGGTTTTCATTCTAGAAAATTAAGGTCTTATGAGCAAAATTATGCAATTATGAATTAGAATGTTTTGTATTGGTGATTGCAGTAAATTTTATTAATACTTACTCAGTAATTATTACTGTACACACTATCAGTAATTATTTACTGATGCTGCTTAGTTTGGCTTTTAAGAACATTAAAGATCTTACAGTAGGTTATTTAGATGGTCTTTAAAATTATCTATGATGATTTTGATTATAAAATATGAAAATAGTTC